CCCATTCCACTAATGGGCATATACTCACACCTATCCCAGTGATTTGGGAGTTAGCAGAGTTGAAAGGCATATTTAAGAGACTATTTGATGTTTACATGCTGTAACATTTCTCTGCACCCTTCTCTGCTGCTTATGACTCGCAGTAGGGTTATGGACAGCACAGACCATTTAGCTCGTGGCAGCTTGCATGGAAATGTCTATATAGAAATAGTACCAGTTTAGCTTTACCAGGATTATAATTTTTATTTGGTTGGATATGCTTTAATATCTATGCATATTAGGGCGTGCCAATACTGAAGGGATCTGGAGGTGTATTCCTGTAAGGCTCCTTTCATATCCCTGTAATTGCACCCGTTTCTCTAATGAGCAAAACAAAACCAGACCTTCACAAAATAGACTGATCTTTGATAGTTTTATGGAAGTAAGAGGCCTTTGTGGTCGTTTCTGGTGCTCACTCTCGGTGCTCCAGTGCCGTGATCTTGGATCACCACCTGCTGTCTGCTGAAAGAATTCATCCCATGTCGCATTTGCTGAACCACATTGTTCCTTGCTGAGACATGGTCCGCAGCTCCCACCCTTCTGCAAGGTACCCCTGTGTGCGGTTACTTACTGTTCCTCTGCTTAGCTTGGAGCTATAAAGTTTGTTAAGTAAGTTAAAGCTGCATTAACTCTTAGAAATGTGTCCCCATTAGGGATTTTTCACTGGTTTAGGTAATTTGTTTTTTAAACAAAACGTGGGATGGGTTTATGCTGAGCTGTGTAGGCAAAACCCTGACTTAAGGAAAGAATTTGGCATCTGTGAGGATGTGACTGGACCTTTGTAGGGTCAAGAATAGGGTCTTGAAGGGGGAGCCCAGACAGGTAGCCTGTATCCCTCTTGTGCCCTGAGGGCTTGGGTGCTGATGAATCAGATGTCAATGTTTTGCAAGAGGGGGAGCTGGTTTGAATTCCTGGCAGATGTGGATGGGTGATTTCTGTGGGAGCAGAGCAACAGAATGAATAAAAAACATAGGAATTGCTGGTTTTCTTTGAATTATAGGTTACCATACATTGTAATTAAGTTTTTTCCCTTTTTTATTTATTCATTTATTTATTTATTTATTTTAAGGAGCATGTGTTAATTACACTGAGTTCCAGTTGCATTGAACAGCCTTTCCCAGTTTGGTGAGCATGGGATGGCAGTTAGCATGGATGGTGCATGGCTACGTTTCAGTTAACCTGAAATTGCCAAAATTATTCCTGTAGCCAAATGTTCTTCAAGGTCCCCTTCTGGAGACTGCCAGCCATCCTGCATTGTATCAGAGAGAAGTGTCTGTCTGTTCCTGAACATTATCTAAGATTCGTTTCATGCCATCACACAAGTTGAAGACAGCAATAGCGTTTGTGGGGAGCTGCAGCTGGGCTTCCCTAGTGCTGTGATGGCATCCTTGCATGTGTTTGAGGATGATGACTGCTCTTGGACATATCCATCTCAGTCTGTGGTTGCATTTGAGTCAGTGTTTAAGAGAATGTCGTGAGCTAAACCAGGCAGGCCTGGCAATGCAGTGAGGTAGGTTATCAAGACTGGATAGAGAAAATACTTTCAGTTGAGTCTGTCTTACCTTCACCAGAAAGTTTGGGGGTTTCTCCATGTTCTTTGTACCTCCTGAGAGGTGGAAAAGTAGTGCCTTGGTCTGCAGGATTTTCCCAGGTCATTTAGA